CTTTTTAATTATAGGAAATGCGTTATTCTAAGGTACATCAACTTTTGAGATTGACTGTATAACCAATACATCTTTAATAAGTTTATCGAGTAATATTGATGAAGCTAAGGAGACATTGGATCAATCTTTTGCATCTTAATTAGAACGCTCCATCATCTAGAGAGAGGTTTGTAACATCGGATCCCTTACAACATCGATGAATGTTTAAGACACTAGCATAATGACTCTGGTGATTATTCCAAGTAAGGGTCATTATCTCTACCCAGCACGATAGTATCTGTTGTCTCAAAAAATAAACTATAGAAGCTACGCATAATAAGCTCTTTACAGGAGTTCCTTTAAAAAGCCTTAAATAACTTGGCTGCTTTTAAACTATAATAAAATTAATATTCCTCCTGTTAATAAATTCCACAATTTTTATATGCGTTCTTAAAATCCACGTAATGGTGCATAAGGGATAGACACATGATTTTAGAATGCATCGATGAAGAAAGGTAGCGGCGGGGTGGGTTAAGGGCTAATCGAATGCCGTTTAATATCGCAAGAAATGCGAGGCATTTAATATTGCAGGTATTGCGCAGATACGGTTCGTTTATTCAGTATCAAATTGCGCTTGCACGTTGCACCACGAAAATGAAACATGAAATTCGATGTGTAACTGCATCGAGCGGATACAAAGCGTCCATACGCCTACGACTAGATGTTCCTACGAGCAGCCCGCTTATACACCTTGGAATGGAGCGTTCACATTCTTACGAATAAATTTGTACATCAACATTAACGCAATATGCGTTCCGTTTCCGTAGGCAACTGTAAATAACTGCGTTTATGCTATAGACATTTACCCGTTGCACAAAGTGAATAACGGGTAATCAGTTCCTACGTTCTTCGTGTATCTCGGTACTGTGCGCGTTCCATGGTTTGGAATTCTCTTTAGGCTGCTGTTGCACAGTTACTTACGGTGACTTACGAAAGTGTCCAAACGTTTGCATTTGCAAATTTTAACGAACAAATTAGTGTATATTAAATTAATTGGTTGGTAATTTCAAAACTGTTCGGCATCTATAGCAAGGGAAAATTGCAAAGATTATGCCTTATGAAAATGATTTGACAATGTAAGTAATAGTTATACTTATTATAAACAGGCACTGAGTGGCTCACAAAAACATTTGAACGTTACTTATATTATTTAACCTTTAGCACTCCGCGTGTTTCTCTACCACTGCTTACCAGCACTTCCGGTAGATTTTTGCAAATGTTTTCTCCGGATATGAAGTGTTCGGAAAATCTTGAATTTATAAAGGGTGTCCCAGAAAAAATGTTAGAGTCGAAAAGGGGTGACTCTGGAGGTATTTCTGAACAACAATTTCCTTTGGTAAAATGCAAAGTGAGGCATGGTTTTTGAATTATTAAGGAAAAACACTGATCAATGAGAGCGAGCGTAAGGCCTGTATTGACCAACGGCCGAGCGCCACGATCCGAGCTACCACTGCCATGGCTGGGCGCGGGTTCAATGCGCGATGTTCAATTTGTTGTTCCTTATCATAAGTTGTCATTGTTCCTTATCAAATTGAATGTGACATGATATCCTCCCTTACCTAGACTACTACAAATATCTATATCTTCGCTATATCTTCTCTACGCCTCCACTTACAAAAATATAATTTACACGATATTATGTAGTTTCTTAAAGCCTACATCTGTGAGTGACATTTTCTCGTATTGTTTGAAATAACCAAAATATTTAAGTTTGAGTTAAGACAGAGTTTGTGAGACACACTGTATATGATACATTCTTTTACAATAGAGCCAGTGTGTTCCGGATCGTTATCGTGTCGGAAGTAGAAGTCGTTCAATAATCCAAATTTAAGAGACTTCCTTTAAATTATTTAAATATTTTATCGAGTATTCTATCAATAGATATTAAATTTCCCGTACCATTTCCCACTTGTTGCCATGCAACGTCACATCATGACCGATCAATCTTCGTGTTTTACCGTTTCGTGTACATTTTGAATTTTCAATTCCGGACTTCATTTTCTCCATATATAATTTTAACCATCTGAGTTAAAGATAATCAATTTAGAGTTACCCGGAGTGATTACTTTGTCCAAAAAAAATAGTATTAAGAATGATATTTTTGAAATTCAATTGACAGTTCCAGAGATTATATGTATTTTCCCTAAGATTTTCCCTTGAAAATAATGTCGAGGTATAGAAATGTATACAAGAACGGGATTGCAAATATCATTCAGGTAGCTGGACAATAGGTTGTCGTAAATACACGCGTACCCAGCGGACGCGCATTGAGGGAAGGGAAAAAGAGCGCCAGAGTAGCGTGATACATACAACGGCAAAAAATATTCGAAACGTTCCGAGATTTGTGCAGCCGTGCAGTGCGTATCGGGCTATCAAATAATAAATAACGTAGCACGTTAAGCACCAAATAATTTAACAACGGTATTAAATATGAAACATAATACGCGCACTTGAACGCGCGGCGTTCGTTTCCGAAATAACACAACGGCAAACCTCCCATCGATCCTTTACCGGTGTCGCATTTCCCTTCGTTTCGGTGCCACGTAACGCTCCGGTTACAAAGAAATTAACAACAAAAACTGTGCCGTTATCATGCGTTTTAATTAATTGAAACAAGCCGATTGATTTGTTTCGCCTCCAATCACCCAACCTCCCCCCAACCCCCGCCATTTTCCTACTCATCGCAACGGCAACAGCGAGATCCTTTCGTTCAAACGAAACTGAACATAATCATATCCCGTTTCTCGTTTCCGTTGCGTTGTCCTCGGTTATTCTTCTTTGTTAACTGCGTCTGTCTACATACAACTTTTGCAGAACGAACACCGTATACCGCTGAATCGCAAGCGGAGCAAGATATGCAAATTCGCCGTGAGCCTTCTTTCTCATGCACGTGCGTGGTATCATCTGTTTCAGGCGGCGCTTTCGCACCCGAATTCGCTGGTCCTATCATGAATCTAACGGTACCACTCGGAAGGGACGCAGTTTTTACGTGTCTGGTCAAACATTTGGGGGGTTACAGGGTAAGTTTTCCCCTATGAAAATTCATCAAACCGCTGACGCAACGGGTATTCCTGCGTCGACCAACCTCTTCCACTTGTTTAGCATATTTTCCCAGCCCGGAACCCTTCCGTGAAATTGCGATACGAAAAGATTCGGATCTAACGGTTAACATTCATTGTGAATCGTAATTCTACTCGAATTTTATCTACGGTAAATGGTCATTCTTTTGTGAATGCAAAGCTCCGAGTAAGCTTTACACTTTTTTTATGCATAAGACGATTTCGAATATTTCCTTTATTTTGCTTTCTGACAGTTGTATCAGATACTAAACAACATTGTAAGAAAAAATCGGGTTTGGATTCAGAGTGGAAGAAAATAAGTGGAACAAGCGTTGGAAGTTGGTAGCTGTACACCGTCCCGTTTCAAGTTAAAGATTAAAAGTTGTTCGCGAAGTAAGAAATTGGCGAAAGTTGAGTGGCATTTACTTCTTAAACAGAAACGAGAATATCTTTTAGTCTTTAGTAGAAACGGCTTGCCAGATAGCTTGGAGAATGAAAACTTAACGGATTCGTTGCTTTCGTTTTAATTCGAAGTGCTTCAATATTTTAAATGAAATATTTCAATAAATCTTGTAGGTATTGTTAGGCGGAATTCCCTTAACGCCGAATGACACTTACAGCCAGAATTTTTCGTAAGTGGAACGAATAGAAAGAAAAGGTTAGAATTCGCAAATAATAATGTAACTACACCAGTGGAGTACTGGAATAAAGTGATCACAGACGAAAGTAAGTTCAACATTTTTGGGTCTGATGGACACTACAGTTTGAAGAAAAAAAATACAGTATTGAAACTACAAAACTTAAAAGCTACAGACAAACACGGTGGAAGTCCAATACTTGTTTGGGGCTGCATGAGTGCAGCTGATGTTGGTTCATTAGAATTTATTGATAGAATAATGAACCACAGGGTCTATATTGATATTTTGAAACGCAATCTTGATCCCGGTGTAGAGAAAATGGATGTTAAAGATGATTTCGTTTTCATGAACGGTAACGATCCGAAGCATACTGCGTATAATACCAGGATGTGGATGCTATACATACAACACACCAGCGTATCTGAAAACTCCGCCACAATCTCCTGATATCAATGTTATAAAACACCTGTAGGATTATTTAGAACGACAAATCAGAAAACATGAAATTTCTTCAAAACAGAGCTTAAAAAATTGCACTGAAGGGAAAGTGGAACAAGATTAGTAAATAAAACCTAAGTAAAGTAAACCTCAAATTTAGTAAATTCAATGCCGACAGGAATTGCAGCAGTTATAAACTTAGAAGTTTATTGAACTCTGAACTTAGAAGAATATAATTAGAAATCATTTTCTGTATAATGGAAGCAATATTTGAGACAAAACTTTTATATTTTCTTACGCAAAACTCGAATATGTAATAACAAATACCAAGTGTCATTATTAATTTCCTATTTCCGATTGCGAACTACTAACTACGACCATTTGATAGAGCATACGCGAATTAGTTGCTAAAATTTTTTAAATATGAATAAAAATCACCCTCCACCATTTTTTTAATAGAGGTAGACGAGTACCCTGTACATATGTATAAGGCTAACGATGACAGCGTAGAGTCTCTATTTTAGTCGGCAGTACCATCGCTCAAAGGTATCAAGGACCAAAAGAAAAATCGATCACAGTGAATTTTAGATCTGTTCTCTTTGTTCAAGCTAACCGGCTCCATCGACAAAACCAATTTCTCAAACAACCTATATACTAGTAAATTCACAAGCACTCTTCTTGATTCGATATCCTTGCTTCCGCTTCATCCCTATGTTTGAACACAAAAATAGAACCATTTCCCCTTGCCGTATTGAATTTCATATCGACGGCCATGAAGACAATTTCATTACGCATCAGCGTGTGTACCCAACTACATATGTCAAAGAAGACACAGGGGGGG